ATGTAGATTCAGTACAGATAGAGAACCAAGTACAAGACTTTGGTTCTTGTGGATTTGATGATTATGGCTTAAATATAATTAAAATTCCAAGTTCATTGTCTCTGAAAATCAAAATATTTCATGAAGCATAGATTTTTACTGTAGAAATGTTTTGTATGCCTCACATAGTCTGACTGCTGACTGGACAAAAGACAGTCATTGAAGGGAAGCCTCAAAAGATCCTTGCTAAAGAAGCTGCATCCAAGCACATTCACCAAAATGTGAGTGGAAGGAAAAGGTCTAGTAGGAGAAAATGAAGGAGCTTCATAAAGAGAGGCTGGTGTCAGTGCTTTGAGTCACAGACTTGATATTGACTGTTCAAATATAAAACACATATTGAAAACATAGAAATAAATGACTTCATTGATCTTCCTGACACAAAGATGTGGATAACTTGTTTCTAAAACCTTCATCAGGATGGCTTTGTGCTATTTGACAACAATTAGTTTCTAGTTGAGACAATAAATGATTCAAAAAGGTGTAATAGTTTATTTTCCAAGCACATAATGCTTTACAGAACAGTTAAGTAACTGTGTTTTGTTCAGTTGTTATAAAAAGTCTTTGGCGCCTAAAATTGGGTCTCTGTGTCTTTAAGAATCTCCTGCTTTTCCCAACACTCCATCTTCACCACATCATCATAACAATGCTCCTTCATGATGCTGTTTACAACCCTTCATAGGAGAGGAGGACGGAGAAGTAGTTTGTATGATGAACTCACCAGGTGAAGGCTAACTGCTGCTGACACTAGTCTGATGGAGCAGAGGGGGGAGGGAGGGGATCTGCTCTGTGGAGCAGAGGCTCAGCTGGAGCTGCAGCTCTGAGGAGGAGCTCTGTGGAAAAGACAACGCTTTGTTTAGGTGTTAAGATGTTCAGAGACCCCACAATGGTTGCCATGGGAGATTGAAAGATCTCTCAAACATCCATGAAGGTATGATATTCCAGGTATGTTTTCGACAATTACATTACATTGTGACATAATGTAAAGCTCAAAAGAGCCAATTTTACATAATACAAAATTATATATACATAGAATCTCTTACTATTGCTGATCACATACAACTTTAAATCTGTAAATTACTGCAACCTTTACATTAGTACATTAGTATGATCATGAGAAGATTTCCAGAACTTCCTCAGAAGTCATTGTTTCAGCTGATGGCAGAAACATTGCTGATCCAGAGCAACATTTGCAACAGTCACATAAGATTTCTTGTAAAAACATGACATGGAAAAACAGGAAGAATATTTCATTTCCACTAAAGTAGACTAATGTAATGGTATGTTAGGTGTAAAACTCTCTGTGTCCCAATTTATCACTGCAACATCTTTCTGTTTGCACAAGAGATTTTCAAATGAAAGTTTCATAAATGTTGTTTTACAAACAAACTCGCCTTTCCATTGCTGGAGCTCAATTCATTTAGCTATTAAATTTTGATTTATAAGTTATTGTAAATGTGCTGACATTGAAATCTTCAGTAATATTTTTAAATGTTCCATTCAGGACAACATTCAGTGGTCTGAATGCAGCAGGCTCTGAGCTGGGAGCGAGAGCAGAGCGAGGAGGGAGAAGAAGTGGGGGAGAGGAAAGAGATGAAGGTTGTGGGAGTGATGAAAGCGTCTCTGACCAGCCACCAGATCAGGCAGCTCAAGCTGCTAATTATAGTAATTATGATTCATTACTGGCTCAGATTAATTTAATAAAGAGGAGGCTGAGCAGAGCTCGTTAACCTTCATTAGAATAATTGTAGACACAAGACACACACGCACACACACACACACACACACACGCATGCATACATGTTCAGCAGTGTGAGGCTTGGGAGTGTTCCTGCAGCAGCCACCTGCTGGAACCGTGAGAACAGTGGGTGGGGGGAAATGTGTGTGTGTGTGTGTGTGTGTGTGTGTGTGTGTGTGTGTGTGTGTGTGTGGTGTGTGTGTGTGTGTGTGTGTGTGTGTGTGTACCTGTAGTTTCTGCATCATTGCTGCTGTGTGTGAGTCTGTCCTTAAACATCCACAATGAACTGTGAGCTGATAGAAATTTCAGCCAAACTTTTCAAACAAAAAGGATGGTAAGTTTTGCGGTTTCACAAATACAATTATACAAATCAAGTGTGTGTTTTTGAAATATCATTATTTAGTGTCAAATAATTGACTCAAAGTTACATTCTGGTCATTCAGAAGAGGTTTCATAGCCCAAAAAGCACTAGAAATGCATTTTCCCCCAAAATAGAATAAATGTTTCAATTTCATTCATAACCTTTGTTCAGCATACAACACTCATTCGCAATGTTTTAGACTTTGAACTCAAGTTGATCAAATGCATTCAGATTCCTTAAAAAAAGAAACCACACTTAAATACAATCCATCACAGCAATGTCAAATCACACAGCAACCAGCAAACACAGCATCATTAGCCAGCAGGAATGTGAGCTTCACTTTCTCTCAGTGACCTTCCCTTCTGACTGGAAACCAGAACCAATACAAAACAGACAGATGTTTATGGCTGCTGATGTTAGTCCCTGACACAATGGTGCCCTGGGCAGGGAGCCACATCCCATGTGTGTGACCAGACACCTCACTGTGACACACAGCTGATATTTGACTATTGGTCAGAAAGGAGGATGAGGTGAGCGCATTTGGAGGATTGTTCCTTTATGAGATTTGCAGTGAGATCCCTTGGCCCCAGAATCAAACCAGGGACCACCGCTCAGAGGACTGGAGCCTCTATGGTTCTCCTGCTGAGCCAGCTGGTGCATCATATTCAGCATCTTTGATCAAACTCTGTATTCTCAATTTTTTCACTACGCTAAATTGTGTTATTACAGTTTCCTTAATGCATTTGGGATCTTTAAGATCCCTGCTTGACTTGATTAAATCCTCCCCCAGTGATCATTGCTTTATACGCATCTTATTTACGACCTGTCATAGGTGCTGCTGTTATCTGCATTTTTTTCAGACTTACAAATTCAAGTAAATTCAGACATAAGCATTGGATGCTGGTCTCCACATAGGTGGCGGCTAAAATGTCCACTTTCTCTAAAGAACACAGCAATTACATTTAATTAGGCATGGTAAATGTCAAATTTATTTGCGCTGAATAAAACCCCCAAAAAGCCTCATCTGCAGATAAACAGCTGGAAGAGCCGTTTAATAATCCTGCCTCTCAGTTTTGTCCCAGCGCTTCTCTCCAGTCCTGCTGTAACAGCGTGTGATGGCTGTGCTTTATAGTTCCCTTCCACTTAAAATGCAAATATTTCCCAAGGTGAGTAAGGTGCTGGGATATTTAATGCACTTAATATATTGGCGTTTTTTAAATAAAGCCATAAAGACTGTTGTGGAAGCAGGAAGTAGATCAAAGAGGTGGGGCCCTGTGATTGGCTAATCATGTCTCATTGTTTCGGCCATTAAACTTTTAATTTTTTCCTCATTATTTCTTCATTCCCTCCATGAGCATGACAACAATATGAGAAAGTGCGGAGAGAGGACAGGGAGAGTCCCACACACATCTTCTTTTTTTTAATTGTCTCTCACAACAATATAAAAAGTGCGGGCGTCGGAGACACCATCACTTCCCCCATCCCACCTCCTCCCCTCCTCTGAGCTTGAAAATGAGAGTCAACGGAATATTAAGTCCCCGGCATTAGAATAAACACGTCGCGTGTTAAATCAAAATCCAATTCTGTGGTCTATTATTTTCTGGCATAGTAATGACTGCCAAGGATTAGGAATCAATATTTCACTGCAGCGGGGACATTACCGTCTTTATTCAGGCCGTAATTGAGTTTTGAGGAGAGGCCCTGCCCTGGAATCTGCATTAGAGATAAGGGCTGCCGTTCATGGAGGCCATTACACTCAGCTTCACATCCCTCCAGCTTGCAACATATTAGCTTTACTCCACTGTATGACTAATAAACACGCGCTCATAACTTACAGTTGACTGTTGCTGACCTGGCCTGACTGTAGGAAGCTCATATTTACACCTGTCAGTAAACTATGAGTTCTATTGCTGCGCAGCCACTAACTGTGGGGTTAACTATGTGCGAACAAATTAAAACCCGAAACGTCTCCCCACTCCCTGCTTCTGTCCTGCCAGGACAGACAGAGAAATGTCCCGGGCCGCACCGCCCCGCGCGCGCCAGCCAGATAATAGCCTATTAGTGCAAGTGGGATTAATTTGTAGCCAATTACAAGGCGTGAATTGAAAGGGAATGCATAAATAAGGAGAGAGAGCGGCGCGCACACACAGTGTGAGCGTGCGTGTACGTGTGTGTGAGCGTGTGTGACAGAGGGTCCTCTAGGGGCCGGCTATAAGCCAAAGAGGGTGTTGAAAGCTCGAACGGGGGGAAGAGAGCGCGAGAAACAAGAGGCGACGGGGAGGAGAGAGAGAGAGAGGGAGAGAGAGCTTCTCAAAACTCAAGCAGCGAGCGGGAGAGAGCGCGAGCTGGTTCGAGCTGCTCGCGCAGAGATACATCAGCGTCCGTCCGTCCGTCCCGCCTCCAGCTGCTGTCAGGCTTCCAGAGCGCGCGCGCTGTGGTCACCGCGCAGAGGTCGGACTCTGTGCGCTGCGTGTGCGTGCGTGTCATCGCGGGCTAACTGCCACGCGCCGTGTCTCTGGAGAAGTTCTGCACACGCGGAGAAGGATGCAGCCGAAAGAGCCGGAGACAAACAGGCAGAGAGACGAGCTTTAAAGTTTGAGCGGACAAAAAGAAACTCCAGTCAGGCTCAGAGCTCCTCACCTGTCCAAACTCCAGAGGGTCCATGGAAAACCTGCACGAGCACAAAACTCCACCTCAGGCTGGACCTGAACGGACTGTTGAGCTGTGAAGTTCATCCTCTGAAATGAACATCATATAAATCCACCTGGACTCAGTTTTTTCCTTCCTTCTCTTTTTATTTTTATTCTATTATTATTTTTTTTATCTATTTTACTTATTTCTCTTCTTCACATTTAATTCCGGATTCCCAAATTCCATAAAGTCTATGGGAAGGACGGAGTGAAGCGATGAACCGAGACAGAGGCGCGGCATCCGGGCCTGGATCTGACGGGATCCCGGCTGTGATGGGACGGGACAGAGCCGCAGCAGGAGGGCCCGTGGTGGACGCGCTCCAGCCCGCCATGAGTCGGGACAGACCGGGCAGCGGGGACGGGGTTCAGACGATGGTGGGCCCAGAGAGCGGGGAGATGTTGGACGCAGGCGTCACCGCGGAAAAGCGGCTCTTCTCAGTGGCCGGAAACAGAGATCCTCAGGCCGGAGAGAACCACACCGAGCCGCCGCCGGTGCTGGCGCCGCCACAACAGGTGAGAGGCGGGGGTCAAAGTTCATGAGGGAGAGAGTTAATTCCATCCCAACTTATTATTATTATTATTATTATTATTATTATTATTATTATTATTATTATTATTATTATTATTATTTAGGAACGATTGGAATGAGCCAGATTAGTGACATGACAGTGCAGACAGAAACATGAAGCCAGAAAAGTGAAATAAAAGCTTCAATTATTTACATGCATTCGTGTTTGTCTTGTTTTCGATTTTGTTAAAAATTTCTCATAGTTTCAGTATGTTTGCTTTTTTTAAAAGTTGCTAATCAACATGACAACTGCAAAACAGCCAAAACGCGCGCGCACAATAAATGTAAGTGAAACTGGATTAAATTGCCAAACTAACAGAATAGTTTGCTTTTTTCTGAAATATCTGAATTATGTTTGTTTTATTATAGGCACAACAAAAAAATGCTCACACTAATCGAAACAAACTAAAAAAACTGCTATTTTTGTTCGGAAGTTTTCAGAAATGTTAAAAAAAATCTAAAAATGTTAAGGTCTTTCTCAAACCTCTAATATTTAAAATGAAGTTATTTGTTAGTTTTTTCTCTTCATTTGCTCTTTATGGGCTACATTACGTCCAGATCTGCCATAAACTCATCAATAGATCATTCTGTTTAATCCCTGCTGTGATCATGCTGCTGTAATCTGTTCATGGAGGGTCAATGACTCTTTTCTCTCTCGCTCTTATTATTTCAACCGAGGATGTTGATGGTATTAATGTGGGATTATTGCTGTGGACATGCTCCAGGCTGGCCTCATTAATAAATGAACGATCCTTATCGGTATCCGTGGTGGGACTCTTATCAGCTCAGCAGCCAACATGCACGGACACCTTCTGAGCTCCACATAAATCAGGATGTGCAAATCAACCGCAAACACGCTGCGCACAATCAGGGTCACAGCGAGAGGAGAATAGACGAATCCTGGAAACATCATCCAAACGCTCACATCCTGTTCCCGCCATTAGATTAAGAAGAACGTTTTGCTTTTATGGCCTTTATGGCCCACTCTACTGTACAACTCCAGACATGCAGAGGGTCATGAAACTGGATTGATTTGTTGTTGTTGTTGTTGTTGTTTCTTTCTTTGGTCGCCCAATGAGACAAGATCCAGTAAATGTATGTTGTTGTAATTGTCATATAGATACAGATCACGCAGAATTACGAATATTCAAATCAGATCAGAGGCATGGCTCATTTATTTAATGTCCTCTCATTATTATTATTATTATTATTATTATTATTATTATTATTATTATTATTATTATTATTATTATTATTATTATTATTATTATCAAGAAGGAAATACAATTAATTGAATGTTTGATTTTTTAAATGTCAGAAGATAAATAAAACCCCAAAGAAAACTCACGTAAAAAAAAGAAAGAAATTAAAAGAAAACATAAGAAAAGAAAAGAACTGAACAGAAAAAAGAAAAGAAGAGGAAAGAAAAAGTACCTGCTAACTCTGACTTTTCTTCTTCGCCAGGGCCCCACAGGCCACCGTACCACCTCCTTCTCCGTCCTGGACATCCTGGATCCCAACAAGTTCACGAGCAACCGGCGACACACGTCGCCGCCGCAGCACGTGAGCCACCACGGGGAGCGCGAGCTGATCGCCTACGATGCGGAGAACCGGAGAGCAGGGCCCGGGGAGCGCGAGCTCAGCGGCCTGGAGCCCAGCAAGAGTTGCTACGGCGCGGAGGAATACCAGAGCAGTGAGTGGGATTCATTCTCTGTTACTTTTGGTTGCTTCGTTTTTTTTTTTTCTTTATATTTTAAAGCAAACTATGGAGTCTTTTTCTAAACTGTTTTTAATTAAAGTGCTGATTCGATTTAATTGATATTTACTATTTATGGTGTGGTAAATATTTACATCGCTTCATAAAATGCTTATTTATTATTATATGCATTTTAAAGCAGCCATGTTGAGGAAGTGGACTATTATCAAGTTTCCGTTCACACGGCTGAACTTCAACTCGACAGTAAAGCAGGACCTGCGTCTCAGAGGTCAGAGTTATGAATCCCAGCCGAAAGCTGAATCCTTGTTTCAGGACGTATCCGATGCCTGTGATGGGATCCGTCTAATCACTGAGAAATAAATAGATTTGAAAGCTGGAACATGCACACAAATCCATCAGGAATGAAAATAGAGCGTGTTTCTAGTTGGAGACGTTTTCAAAAAGGGAAAACATCAATTTGGCTTCTATTTGGAGCTCAGTTTAAACTAGAGAAAATAAAGTTGACAGGCTGCAGTGTGTGTGTGTGTGTGTGTGTGTGTGTGTGTGTGTGTGTGTGTGTGTGTGTGTGTGTGTGTGTGTGTGTGTGTGTGTGTGTGTGTGTGTGTGTGTGTGTGTGTGTGTGTGTGTGTGTGTGTGTGTGTGTATATTATTGATTGGTGAATATCTGTTTCCAGCAGCAGACTGAGGGAACTAATAGAAGTCACCTAAACTGCAGTCAGATCGCATTCTTTTATTTTTTCTTTTTAACATGAACATGGATTTTCCTATTGTTTTATTATCATCATGTTCGCGTTACTGCGTCTACAATCACTTAGACAAATCAGACACAATGGCAGCGACCTTCATCACTATGGAAACTTGGCAAAATAAATATTTTCCAACATAATGATTATAATTATAGTAACAATAATATTGCTTCATATTTAGAGGATATTAAATCAAAAACAATCACGAGATATTTTACTGAATAAATAACGATTGCCTCTCATCTAATTTGAGTTGTTGCAGAAAAATTCCGTCGATTATTCGATAATAATTATTTTAGATATCATAGGTGCTACATATATGTTTTTAATAAGAGTTGCAGTGTTGGAGATTAATAAATAAATCCTCATTTTTTATAAATCAGATTCCAGTTAAAAAACTAAAGCTAACATTGTAGCTATTATATAATAATTAAACCCCGTAATAACAAATATTCATATAACCTTCGTTGTTTTTATTGATTAAACATTAGCCAATCAGAACACCAGGATGTTTTAAACTAAATAGCATTTCTGTTCATTCATTGTTACGTGCACAATAAATTGGTTACTTTAAATTGAAGTATCATTTTCTAGAATAACTGATTAAAATCTGTACATATAAATAATAATATTAATAATAATTGCCTGTAAATCTGTTTCCTTTCTTAGCTTTCAAAACATTTTTTCCATGAAATATTTAGAAGAAATTCAGTCAAAATATTAATATATTTTTATAAATTTTCAAAATATTAGCATTGATATTTGTGTTGTGATTTTACTGCCAGTTTGATCAGGCCTGCTGCCAGTCAGACCTGGTTACCGTGGAAGCGCAACAGCTTTTACTAGTTTTTAATTATTTTTGTTTAAATGTCAATTTAATTTGTAAAGTGACTTAAGTTGGAATTTCCATCATATTTTCTATATCTCTGTTATATATTGCAGTACATAAGAGATAAATGAACAGAAGCTGACTCCTGGAGGTCAGAGCCTCCAACCAACCTGAAGCCCCATTTCATTTATCTTTATGTTTTACTGCAATTCTATATTTGCTGGGCATAATTCAAACAAAAATTATCCAAATATATTTTTTAATCTGACAATCGAGCCTCACTGGACACACATTCTAATTTCTCCTTTAACCATATTTTTTTCATGACAGGTGAAAATTAATAATGAATAAATAAATGATTAGGCCCATAATTCTTCATACCCTGGACTGATTCAGGTTGTCTTTTAATATTGACCAATATGTAATATTCATATTTGAGTGGTTCAGATATTCTGGACTTTGATCTGACAGATAATCTGTGCAGGGAGCTGATGAGGCTGATAGCAAAGTTAGTATGGAAACATGCAAAAAGCAGTAATTATAATATAGATTTGAATGATTTAATGACAATATTTTTTTCCTTTGATTATTGAAAAAGTAATAATTAGAATTTTTTTTTTTTTTTTTTTTTACAAAAACAGGAATGAAAATCTTTTTTCGGTATTGATGCTCCTTTCACATTGTTTTATCATCTTTAACCAAAGCCTGACTCAGATTTGTATCTAGCTGTAAATATTTATTAAATAAATGGAATGATTTTAATCTGTAGCTGAAGGCTGTTCATCTGCAGCCATAACTCAGTTCATCATATCTGAACTGTCATGTTTAACTCCAGAGCCTGGAAAAAGTATTCACACCCCTTTAAATATTTTCAAATTACAACCAACAAACCTCAGTCCAGTTTATTGGGCTTGCCTGTGAATGACTTTGTCTAGGCTACTCTAACACAGAGATCTGCTTTAATCTAAGCCACCCCATAATACCCGTGTAGCTTGTTGTCCTGCTTTAAGCTGGAGCCTCTTGCAGCTTCTCTTCCAGAATTTTTCTGATTTGGCTCCATCCGTGTTCCAGTCAGCTCTGACCAGCTGAAGAGAAAACATCCCCACAGCATCATACTGCCTCCGCCCTGCTTCATCATAGGGGCGGTGTGCCACACACAGCATGTAGCATTTAGGCCAAAACCCCTGATTCTCGCAGCAGACTTTAACTAGGACCTTGGGGAGATTTCTGTCATCAAGTTTGAGCTAAAGTGTTGAAACAACAGCTGCTATTAGAGATACTGAATACTGTATATTATATACAGTCATATTCAGTTAAATAGAATATGCGTTCCAATGAGTCCCGTTTGTCAGATTAAAATCACCGTCTGAGGCAGTAAACAGTTTGAATTAAGCCCCGCCCACATTTCTGTGAAAAAGATGAATTGTTTTCATTATTGATCTGATGTAATATTATAATTGTAAATGTCATGGGGTTTATTTTAGCTCTAAGTGAAAATAATTATAATTAATAGAAATAATTCAAACATCCATTTGTGTGTAATTAATACATAGATTGTGTTTCATTTTGCGATTAAGTTCCTGAAATAAATGGGTTTTTCAGGACTATTCAGATTTGTTGAATGGCTCTGTGGACGTAACTTTCAGTAGGCAGATATTTCTGGATGAAAAAAATCTTGTTTTTTGGCTGACATAATATTCTGTATTTCTGATAAAATGAATTTTGTGATTCACTTAATTTAGATAGAGATTTTAATGCTGAAATGAGATCCATCTATTCATCCATACATACTCAGCCAAATAATCAGAAGCACCTGACTGGTTCTGAGAAACACAAAGCTACAATTGCAGCTCCATTGACAGTTGAAAAGGCAGAAACAGAAATCAGTAGCTTCATTTCCTTCCTTTCATCCAGCTAATCCGAGTTATTCCAGATTGACATGTATATGATGATTTCATATGCAGTTTGCTGGATGTGATTTCATCCCAGTCATGAGCAGGACAGCAGATCTTATTTTGTCTTGTATTCCTGCCTGAAGTGTTAGCTGCACCTGTTTGATGGAGAGCTGCTTGATTGGTTGAATCACAGGTTCAAGCTTCCTGCACCTAAACTGTTGTTGTTGTGTTCATCTTTCAGAGGACAGTTTTGTATACCGAAGTCCAGATGAGGAGGACTACCACCGCTCTGGGACTCCAGACTCTGAGGGTCCGGATGGGACCTACAGCAGCGAGGAGAGCAGCTCCGCTCTGCCTAGCAACGGAGACAGAGAGCTGGGCCAGCACGGCCACTCTGACCCCAGCAGAGACACAAAGAGCCCCGGTGGAGGCCCCCCGGCTCAGATCAGCAGCGGTCAGACCAACGCAGGGCAGGGCACCAAGCCCAAGAGGAAACGATCCGGCTCGGACTCCAAGTCAGGGAAACCCCGCAGGGCCCGGACTGCATTCACCTACGAGCAGCTGGTGGCGCTGGAAAACAAATTCAAGTCCACACGCTACCTGTCGGTGTGCGAGCGCCTCAACTTGGCCCTGTCCCTGTCCCTCACCGAGACCCAGGTCAAGATCTGGTTCCAGAACCGCCGGACCAAGTGGAAGAAGCAGAACCCTGGAGCCGATACCTCGGCCCCCACAGCTGGGGGAGCCGGAGGAGCAGGGGGGGCAGGTGGGGGAGCAGGGGGCGGCCTGGGCAGCCTGAGTCCTCTGAGCCCATCTCCTCCGGTCAGCGGCCACCTGGCCATGCATACTGGCTACGCCGGACACCACCACCCCCCCACAGGGAGCCTGGTGCAGCTGCCTTTCCTCACAGCCAGCCATGTTCTGTCTCCGTTCATGCTGGGAACTCAGAGCTACGCTGCACCTGCCTTCTACAGCACACACCTGTAGAGCCACACAGTGAACTGCAGAGCAGAAAACCTTTTTACTACCAATACCTGAAGGCTTTAAATCAGTGGATTATTTTGATAGATTGTGAATATGAACCAGAACTTGTACATAAATCTATGTTGTAGCTTCCTCTGAATGCTGTCTGGACCTGCGTGATAGACCAACAATTGAGTTCTTTCTTTCTGTTTGATTTCACGTCTGTACAAATACTGAATGTTTCTTTAAGATGTAAGGAATGGCTTGATCTATCGTCAGTACTGTGTAATTCCAGCTGTGATCATTTTAATTTCCCTTATTTATTGAATTTGTTCCAGTTGCCATGAAATCCCTGGATGAACCAAATCCTCAGCCCAACATGATACTGTCCTTTGATATTAAAAGATGAATAATTAAATGCAGATATGGAGGCTTTTGGATTTCTTCTGGGGTTTTTTATTTTGTTGTTTTTCTTTTTACAGAGGGCTGTGGAAAAACCATAACTCCATTTCACAATAGGATGAGGCTGTTGAGCTCAAGCACTTGGCAGAAGAAATAGAAAAAGATAAAAAAAAAAAAAACAGATCAGTATTTCTAATCAGGAGTTTCTAAAATAGTAATGCAGAAAGCTGTTTTTGTTTTTTAAAAAAGGGGTAAATTCTGCTCCATCTTTATGTACTTAAGATAGTAATTGACCATTTGCTGTCAAATTTAGCCTGAAAAATCTTTATACTTCTGTCCATATATTTTACCAGATATGATAGCAGATAAATACAGAAGTTGAGCTGTTGTGTTTCCCATTAAAAAACAGAATCTGTTTAATATGGTACCTAACACAAGCCCCTAAATCTGAAACAGTCCCTTATTTGGCAAAAATAACAATGTTAAAAATATAATAACAGATGGCTTCAGATTTGGGGTTGGAACCCAAAAAGTTTTCAAAATAAAAATGAAGACCTATACAAACTTTGGAAGCAAAGCCCAAACCAAACAGAACATAACCATGCGGAGAGCTTGGCCTAACCCTAACCCTATAAAACCACTGCAGAAATTTGGAATTAAAAATAGACTCCATTGTTGAGGAGAGATGAATGATCTTTAAAGTAAAATCAACACTATATATGTCCATCTGAGCATAAATGAACTAATTAGATTTTAAAAAAAAAGTTCCTCAGTTAAAGGAATTCCCATTGACAGGTTCATAAACTCCTCCATGGAACAGAAAAACATGAGACAACTTGTTTTCTTGCAAAAAGCAGATGTATTTTATTATTGCTGCCTATTGATCAATAAAGACACAGATGGTTGTTAGTGGGTCCAGCCTATTGATGAATAGATTTCTACATTTCTTCTAAAGATTCTGACTGACGCATGCTTCTGTCACATTGGCCTAGATTTTTATGTACTGACTCCATAGATATAAAGTGCAGTCGATGTTACGGAGTACTCAGGTAAAGTTTCATTGCTTAAAATCACAACTTTTATATCTGCGATGAAAGTGTTGCGCCAAATCTGAGCTGCAGAGTGGCTCCTTGTTTCAAACTGCTACAGTGGGAGCAGAACCACTGCAGCAGTTTAACAGAACCTCACACTCTAACAGAACCTCATACTGGAAATGATCAAATCTGGGGGAAAAACATTTGAAATGTCTATAATTATAGACCACTAACACAGTTAGAATGCTCTGTAACCTTATTGGTGAATGTGGTAAAATATGTACAAAAACCTTAAAAATATGGATTTGTAAAGGGAAAGACTTCCTAACTCACCAGCATTCCAACCTGACCTCAGCATGGCAGAGTGAGTATCATTATGAGACAGCAGGTAGAACCTCACTTTCACAATCATGTTAACTCAATTCTGTAGTTTCTGAACAGTTAAACAGCTGCAGAGAGGAGGCAAAATTATTGAGTAGTTTGTAGCGTAAATGTAGCAAAGGAAGAACAACTTCAAACCATTCTGTGTTTTACTGAACTTTAATTTTATGATGCCAGTGGTTAACATTGTCTGACTTCTTTCTCCATACTTGTGTGGAAGATCCTATTTTCTCCCTACTTGAAGCAGAGACAATAAAACAACAAGTCAAGACATTTCCCCTATGGTACAAATCATTTTAATGCACACAGTAGTATTAAACCTATCTCATGCATTACCCCATAATTCAAAAATCAATCATTCAGCAAAAGTAGAAAAAAGTAAAAATCTGTGTACAGAACAAAGACACAGGATCATACAAACATTAATGCAATATTTAACTTAGTATATTTAATAGAAATGTCCTTGTTATCAGCAGGACGGCCTTTTTTACAGGAAGTGTGTGAATGTTTGTTTAGCTTGGTGTTTATCAGTGGAGGTAGATTCGCACCAACTTCAGTTTTCTGGCTGAACACTGATCTTAAAAAGTTTGATCTGCAGATCCCAATTTTGACTGATAGTGATTTTGGGAACATGTTTGTGAATATTTCAATTAATAAAACCTCCAGTCAAAGGGTAGAAACAAACTGAGCTGCTGGGGAGATGTGAGATCATGCAGCTTAAAAAAATATTTGTATAAATATCAATATTGTGACTCAGTGAAATCATGCTTATATTTACCTCCTCTGGGTTACATGGCCGTACACCTGCTCAAACACATAAATTATCCCAGATAATTCCTTGTGCGAGTCCCTCCAAAAACATGAATATTGTTTTTGTTCCATCAATCATGAAATGCAGGCACATAAACACATAAATCATCACATTAAAAACTGTGACTCAGTTTCTTTACTCAGATTTTAAGAGTCTCTGATCATTGTGAAAGAGGCTGTTTAGCAGAGAGCACAGCAACAGAAACACGGTCAGTTGAGGGAGTAGTTAAACTGGTTGGAGAACTTGTCGTGTTTTCTCCTGTCGGCTTTACTTAACACCTCAGCCACTCTGCGCATGCTGCTCCTAGAGAGGGGAGGTGGACAAGAAAACAAAGGCAGAGTTTTACAACTTCCTGACAGGACACACACAGCTACCACTGAGCTCAGCTCAGTGAAGGCTTAGCCAAAGCTGAAGAGACGTACTTGTTGAAGACTTTTCTCTCCAGTCTAGAGCGTGACGTGTTGCTGCTCTGCTTTAGATCGCTGAGGTTGGGGTATTTCTTCTTTTTTCCCTTCCGTTTTTTACCTCCCACCCGACTGGAGCCCAGGTCTTCTCCTGTTGCTGCTTCGATGTCGCGCATCAAGTCCACATCACGCCAGTCTGCAACACATTTCCACACAACAGAGTGAGCATAGTGAAGCTCGACATGAGGAGAGAAACAAAACAAACTGGAGGTGTTGAAACATTAACACTTTCCACTGCACAGCTTGCCTCTTCTTTGTTTTGTGCATGCGATGCATCCACCTTCAGCACCTTCATTACTTCATTTACACAGCACAGCTTAGCTTTAGCTATTTGTTGGCTGTTTAATGAACATTATTTTATGTAGCTTCTGTCATGTTTTGAGACAGCATTCTAAGAGATGGGTTTACATCCTAAATGAGTCTGAGCTACTGATAGTTAGCATCCTAGATCTTGCACACATAGTGCCGAGACAGTGATTAGTATGTCTGAATTCAATAATCTGGATGTATGAAAGTCAGTGGTGGACACCATCAACTAAAATGTTCGTTGTGCTAACCCTAAAGCACTAATTGTAGGTATTAGTTCCACTAAAACCAAAGTGCCAATGTGGTATTTAGCACAAGCCAACACTAAAACGCCATACAAATACCTTCCTTAGCATAAGCTAAGGTTAAAGCACTATACCATCACATTATTGAGCGGAAGCTAACACTAAATGCTATACCAATTTAGCAGAAGCTAAGGCACTAATTTCAACCCGTCATTAACCAATATAATACATCGCCCTCAACAAAGTCAAGTTTGTGTTGAGCCACCTGTATGGTTGTGCTTCGACTTTCAGAGTTCAGTTTTAGAGTTGTTGAGTTTTGTTAATTCTGTTGCTGATTCTTAACAGTCAATAATCAAAACTTCAACACAGATGTTAAATTTTAAATGTTTCTAGAATCTATCCATAAAAAAATAATCTTGAGGAAGAGAAGTGTGCTCAGTGTTTTCAAAGTTAGCAAATAGGCTAAAGTGCTAAACAAAAAATCAGCTCTGCTTTTACCTGATTAGCAAAAGGACGCCCACCACTGGTGAAAGCTTTCACCACTAAAGTCTTCTTTTGTTTTTTTTATTTACAATTTCATCATGAGGTCTTCATTTAGTCAGGATTGGACAACATCTATGGCTTTTTAACATCCAATTAATCATCAGTTTTAATTGATTTTTCCATCCATTCAACAATGCAAGTATGCAACACATCCAAAAACAAAAGGTTAGCACTTGGGTATGTCTCCAGTTTCTTCTCATAACAATTACACAAAAAGCAATTTGATAGAGAAGTGTAATGAAGTAATAGCAGCTGATAAGGTAAATGAGCTCCGACTGCTCGGTTTCACAGAGCATGGGAAGTGAACACCGTGTCCTCTGGGCTAATTTGGATCCTATTCTGGTGTTAATGAAAAGTGTAGTGCCATAATGCTGGCTGATAAAGTAAAAGCGGCTGGAACACAGAGTAATGACGATCTAAACGAAGAGAAGCCTCTCGTTAATGATGGACCGCGGCAGAATTAGAGATAAACCTGCAGTAATTCAAAGTAATTACACTGTGATTGTGATGGGATTGAGGTCTGGCTCACCGCTCTGTCAAAACACTGACCTCAGCTCTGTGTGTGTGTGGTTAGTCATCAGCTGTACGACCCTGGGTCTGACTGGATCTTCAACTATCCCTCACACACATACACACATGCACACTAGAGGCGAATGTAATTGAGTTTAAGTGAGTAGTTGCTAGTAAACGAGGGGCTGCATTAACATTCAGTTTGTATGTTGGTTTTTGTTGCTCACGTCTACAAGAAAAAGCAAAAAAAACAAAAGGTCATATGTGAGATGAGACGGTAAAGGTGAAGAAATATGAAGAAAGGAAAGCGAGCCTATGAATTCAATCAGAACTGCAGCAGGGCTCTTTTCTCTGTCAACACCTTTTAGCCCATCCAGATGGGGTCTGCGGGGGTTAGGGCAGGGGCCAACCCACACACTCATCCTCTGAGGTATCTGGGGTCTTTGGTTGGTTCATCTCTAAGCTACGCTCTGCTAAGCACAGGGGCCCTGCCTGTCTGTGTGTGGGAGAATAAATCCAGACCATCCCAGTGTGGAGACGCATCCATTCCTCTCATCTCTGTCAGCCGGTCGGCTTCACAGATCCGACAGGCATTTCAGTGCCTGTCGTCTGTTATGGTTGGAATAGACAGCAGCCAAGATTGTTAACATCCCAGTCTGAAATTTGTTTGTTTTAAAAGTATCCTGTAAAACTAACCTTCCCTCAT